AATAAATAAATAAATAAATAAATAAATAAATAAATAAATAAATAAATAAATAAATAAATAAATAAATAAATAAATAAATGTAGAGTGGCTTGTCCTTTCAGGGTTGGTATGTGTTGCTAAACAGCAGTGATGATGTTGCTTTGTTGGGTAATGAAACGTCTGCGAGAAAACCACCAAGCTCAGAAAGACCCCACCGTCCTCTTCCTCCCCTCTGCAAATCTCACTCCCTTCTAGCACTGAGGATATTACTTAGTTGGGTAATGGAACGTCTGCGAGAAAACCACCAAGCTCAAAAAGACCCACAGTCCTTCTCTTCCTCCACTCTGCAAATCCCACAAACTTAAAAGCATGCTGGCTGGGGAATTCTGGGAGTGGAAGTCCTCGCACTTAAAAGCATGTTGGTTGAGGAATTCTGGGAGTTGAAGTCCTCGTACTTAAAAGCATGCCGGCTGGTGAATTTTGGGAATTAAAGCCCTTCCAGCCACCACAGTTAAGAAATTTGTTTGTATTGAATCATTTTTGCCATAGCCTTCTAAGCTTTCAGATTTGGTAACCCCCCCAAAATTTTGGCTTCCTTGCCCAGCATGCTGCCTCCTGCCCCCCTCCCCCCCCCAATGGATGGAGCAAACCAGCAAGTCTCTCACCTCCTCCGTCTCGTACATCGTCCGTTTGGAGGAGAAGGGCGAAGGCTCCGGCTGCTTCAGCTCACAGGGGCTTTCCACCGTTGACAGCTCTACTTCTTCAGCGGCTGCCAGCCCCAAATCCCAAGGGGCATCCGTGGGGGTTGGGGAGAAGGTCAAGATGAGCCTGCCAAGGAGAGGAAGGTGGAGAGCTGGATCCCCACTACCATTCCCTCCCCATGCTGCAGTTTCAGTTGCTGCAGGAATCTTCTCCGCTCGCGAGAAACTTACTTGGGAAGGAGGTACTTCTTCCCGACGCCTCGGGCCAGTAAATCAGGGGCTTTGCTCACCCGAAAACAAGGCACCGACAGCGTCTCGCCATCTTCATAAATGCCTGCATAGGAGAAGAACAGGCAGAGAGCCGGGGGCGGAGTTAAGCAAGTCATCAGTCTAGAATCAATACATTCTCACAAATATTGCAAGTCCAAACCAGTGGTGAAATTAAATTTCCCCCCTCACCTATTTGCCCCCAACAATCTGGGTCCTCATTTCACCCACCTTGGAAGGACGGAAGGCTGTGTCAACCTTGAGCCTGGTGAGATTCGAACTGCCAAATTGCAGGCAGTCGAAAGAAATAGCCTGCAGTACTGCACTCTAACCACTACGCCACCGCAGCTCATAGAGTCCCAAACGTCCTGGCCGCTGTACTAACTGTCCTTTGCCAATGTCTTCCTGGGGAAGGGCGACGTTTGGGAAGCAACCAAATCCCCCTCTTCACTCACCGTGCAAGTCGGTCAGGGTGACTTCTAACTTGGTGGGCCCCGTTGGCTCCAGATCCGTGCGCAGCTCGAGACCGGCCAGGTCCAGCCGCAAGCGCTCCCTGCGCACGGCCTTCTCGGCCCAGGCGCGCCTCTCAGCCCAGGCGCGGAGATCAGGAATGGGGAACTGGAGTAGCAGGGAAGCTTTAGGGACGGCCAGCTGCACGTTGGCCTGCCATTGGGCAGCCGGGGGGAAACCTGGCTGGCACCAGCAAGGGGAAGAGAAGGAGAAAACAACCTCAGAAGGAGAAAAGTGTGTTCTTTCCTGGCAAGACCTGTGTATCAGGTCTATTTCAAGCAATTTAGCTCAACAACTAGCCATATCCGTTCTGGGATTCGCACCCAGGCTATTGACATATTAGATAGACGTATTAACCTCTAAGCCACAGGCTCTCCTAACTTTGTCGGCTATACTATGGGGGAGATTAAGTGGTGTTTTTTTTTCTGGTGGGACCGGTCTATCAGGGTAACCTGGTGTATTCAAATATGGGATTGAGCAAACTGCTTCCGGTTTTGTGTTTCAGCCCCAATTCATGAGCCTTCACAGGCAGTTGCTTTCGCAGCAAAAAAATGTTTAGTCGCGAAAGAGGAGGAGGAGGAGATGACTTAATTCAACAAAAAAATAGTTTGTCACTAAAGCAACTGTCTGCAAAGGCTCATGAATTGAGGCTGAAACGCAAAAGCAGAAGCAGTTTGCTCAATCCCATATTTGAATACACCAGGTTGCCCTGATAGATCGGTCCCACCAGGAAAAAAAAACACTTACTCTCTCCCCTGGTACAGCTGACAAAGGCAGGAGAGCCTGTGGCTTAGAGGTTAATACATCTACCTAATACAGTGATGGCAAACCTTTTCAGCACTGAGTGCCCAAACAGGAACACACATGCATGCAAGTGCGCCGGAAACCCGAAAACCAGCTGGCCAGCGTGCGCATGCCTGTTTTTTTACTGGTTTTAGGGCTGTTTTTCAGGCTGTTTTCACGCCGTTTTCAGGCTGTTCTTCGGGCCATTTATTGGGCCATTTTCAAGCGATTTTTTGTTTTTCCGCCAGTGCCAAAAACGGCCTAAAAACGGCTTGCAAAAGGGCCAGAAACGGCCTGAAAATGGCCAGGAAAACAGCCTGTTTTAGGGGCATTTTTGGCTGTTTTCATGCCGTTTTCCAGCACTCCAACAGCTGGTGAAGGCACGCGTGCCCACAGAGAGAGCTCTGCGTGCCACCTCTGGCACCCGTGCCATAGGTTCACAGTTGTGGCCCAGCAGGAGCCATTGGAGCTGCAAACAGACTCCGACAGCGAGGGGCCTTATGAGTCGGCTCTAGAAGATGTGGAGGACCCTGGACAGGGTTCCGACTTCGAGCAGGGCGCAGAAAAGCTTGTTGGCCAACAGGAGGCGCCTGAGGCATGGAGCAGTGGTGAGAGTCAAAGGGAGTGTGCTCATGACGTCAGGCCTTGGAGTAGTGACAAGGAGACAAGGGAGGTGGTCCTGGATGCCCTGCAACGCTGGGCAGATTGATGGAGAAAACAGCTACGCAGATACAAAATATAATTGGACCCAGTTGGTTGTAATTAGGATCCTCTCAAGATTGTATTTAAGGAGGGACTCAGGGAGGAGGCTTATTTGCAGGATTCAACTTCATTCTTAACGCTGGAAAAGCTGTTATCTGTCTATGTCGAAGTCTGAGTTGCTGCCAAGGTTCTTATCTGTTTGTTTATGCTTGGGCTTTCAGCCACCAAAGTTTATATTTCCTGCTAATAAAGTGCTGTAGAATTCCAGTTAAGCTTGTCTTGGCATTCGTTACTGGATGGAGGAGGGGGTCAGAACAGTTCACCATCACAGACCTAATATGTAAATAGCCTGAGTTCGAATCCCAGAAAGGGCATGGCTAGCTAACAAGAGCTAAATCTATACTAGTCCCCCTTTATTTCTTTGTTGGTAAAATATAAATTTAACTCAGAAGGAGAAGGAGCCGCCCACTCAAACCAGCCAGCTACTTCCCCTCCGCCTTACCACGGGTTCTTCGGGAGGGTAGCCCCCCGGCTGGGATGGCGCCACGGTGGGCTGCAAGAGGGAGCAGAGGCGATCCAGCGTACCCAGGTCCACTTCAGACAGGAACTCAGCCAGTTCTACCGCCAGGTCCATCGTCAACTTGGATGAGGCACCTTTGGCCAAGCCGCTCTTCTAGGAGGGCATAAAACAAGGGTGTCAAACTCAAGGCCCGAGGATCCAGCCTGAGGAGTGCTTAAGATCTGGCCCATGGGGTCACCCTGGAAACAACAGACCAGCCCATGGTGCCTCTGCCAGTGAAAACGGAGCTGGCGAGGGCTGTGGGCAGCCCTTGTGAGCTCCGTTTTTGCTGGCAGAGGGCTGCAGGAGGCTGTCACAGCCTAAACCGGAGCTCGGGAGCCCATTTTAGCTGGCAGAGCGCTCGGGTCACCACAGGCGCCCCCAACATGAGTGACGTCAAGCTGGCCATACCCCCCTCGCCCCCAGGGCCAAACACAACCTGGATGCGGCCCTCAATGGCGTAAAAGGTCAGGCTGGAGCAGATCTCTCAACCTTGGGATCTTGAGAAACAGGTGGACTTCAACTCCCAGAATTCCCCAGCCAGCCAGTGAAGAACTGCACGATCAAGCAAGGAATGGGCGAATTGGAGGGTCAGGTGAGGCCAGTCAGCCCGACAGTGGGTTTTTCTTCACACACTGCCTTCTCTGCGATTGCAAACTTTGCGTTTTGTGAACTGGGAGGGTGTGTGTGTTTGTACAAACCCACGGTATTATCTTCTACTGTTGTGGAAAACAGGTGCAAATATAGGCCTTAAAAGAGTCTCAAAACTGCTTTTTTCACGAGTCAACTGGACTTTCTGGTTTTTCTTTGAAGACGTTTCGCTTCTCCTCCAAGAAGCTTCTTCAGCTCTGACTGGATGGTGGGAAATGGGAGGATTTATATTCCTTGCAGACAGCTGGTCATTTGGATCCTTTGAGAGAGTCATTGAGGCCACTTGGAGGTTTATTTGTGTCTTCTTTAAAGACCTTTCGCTTCTCATCCAAGAAGTTTCTTCAGTTCTGACTGGATGGTGGGGGAAGGGAAGGATTGATCCTCCTTGCAGACAGCTGGTTATTTGCATCCTTTTGAAACAGTCATTGAGGCCACTTGGAGGTTTATTTGTGTCTTCTTTAAAGACCTTTCGCTTCTCATCCAAGAAGTTTCTTCAGTTCTGACTGGATGGTGGGGGAAGGGAAGGATTGATCCTCCTTGCAGACAGCTGGTTATTTGCATCCTTTTGAAACAGTCATTGAGGCCACTTGGAGATTTCTCGGTGTCCTCGGGAGGTGGCCCTGAATAGTGCTCCTGCTTTCAGACTGCATTGCAGACTACAGGACGATTCAGGTGACCCTGAGGACACAAATAAATCTCCAAGTGCTTCAAGGACCCTCTAAAAGGATGCAAATGACAAGCTGTCTGCGAGGAATATAAATCCTTCCATTTCCCACCGTCCAGTCAGAGCTGAAGAAGCTTCTTGGATGAGAAGCGAAACTTCTTCAAAGAATAACCAGAAAGTCCCGTTGCTC